AAGCCACTGTTGACTTGAATATAAACACATTCAGAAAGATCTAGGCTTCTAAACAGTGGCTTAGTCTTTCGGTAAATGTCAGTGTGAGGGCATAAAATCATTAATTAGGGCAAAATTAAAATAATTATGTTAAAAAAAGAAAAGTTGATATTTTTAGTATAACTAGAAATTATCAGAACAGTATTTTCTTTAGTCATTTATACAGATGACTAATATAGTTGATAAAAGTTGTAAAATCTCAGCTAAAAAGGGAAAGAACAGCTGCCATAGGTGGCATAGAAATGTCTGATTTTCTTTAAAAATACATGGAAAACTCATTAAAACTATATAAACTAAGAAAAGCTATTTTCCCCTAAAGTTCATCTAAATTTCAAAAGCAGAAAAATGAACATAGATACATAATATAGCTTTTACAAGTATGGTGTTAATGGACACTTGAAAAATACATTTAAAAAAATAAGTGAAGTACATAGAAACATTTTACAATAAAACTTGACTTCTTCAAACTGCCAAAGAAAAATTGGCACTTGCCACCTGCCTCTACAAGGATTGGATCATGCTGGCACTTGCCATCTACCTCTGCTTGGATTAAATCATGAGCCGCTGCTGCCGTTGACCTCCAACACTCCCTGAAAGGAGTGCAGGGTAGAGATCAGCCATGAGGCCCTCTGTGCTCTGGGGAAACTGGCAGAACAGGCCTTCAGATAGTTAGATATTTTCAGGAAAAGATTTTATGAGCCCAAATTCTTGCGTCTTCTCATAACTAGAAAATCACTAAAATCAGTAACGGTGACATCTGCTCCTCATGACCAGCAGCAAGCCTATGCCTAAACGTGTGCTTGACTGCACGTCCCCCCCTCGCTGAAATCATATATAATACTGAGTTCCCCTGCCTCTTTGGACCAGTTCCTCAGAGCTATCTGAGATGCTGTCTCCCGGGCTACAGTCCTCATTTTGCCCCAAATAAAACTTAACCCACAACTCTCACGTTGTGTGACTTTACTTCAGTCAACAAAACTAATTTTGCACATTTGATCTAAATTTGGAAAAAATTAATCTATAAAATTTCTTAAGTGGCTTATATACCTTTCCTAAAATCTAAACTTTTAGGCTTTGTAAGTCTCCTTTTCACAGATAAGTGAAAAATAAAGTTAATGAATTATCATTTACTGTGAAAGATTTTACACATATAAAATATGAGGACCTATAGTACTTTATCTTCTCTGAAGACAGAATGAAAAGAGATAGGCATAAATTAAAGGATGAAAGATAAAAGTTAGACAGAAGAAAGAAATCCTGAACAGGGGCAGTATTTATTGGCTAAAGAAGTAGTAAAATATCCAATTTTACGTGTCTTGTGTAGCTAAATGTGAAAAGGAGGTATATTAAAGCCTTCTTCTCTTTCTGGTCTTAATTGGTCTTTTGGCTTCTAGATAATTCCCTTCCAGTCCATCACTCACACCTCCACCAAATTTCTCTCCCTAATAGAGAACTTTTCTTGTCACTTTCCATAGATAATTCTTTAGCGGCTTATTTACTAATTCTTAGATCTAAACCTCTTTGGATGGCATCTCATGTTCTTCAACCTCTTCTCCAACTTACCTGTCTTACCTTATTACCCAATCACAAAATGTTTCCCCTCACCCTGTGACACTGTGCTTACTCTCTAGGACTACTTGGCATGCATCAACCAACGCTTTGGTGTCCTTTCCTTCATCTGTACCTGCTGATACTGTCATTCCTCAAGTGACAGCTCACACTGCACTGAGCTCATGAAGCCTTTGCACCTTCCTCAGGGAAGTGACTGGCACTTCAAATAGAGATGCCATCTTCTTGTTGTATACATATCTGTCTTCACGAGTTGATTCTAAGCTCCCACAGGCCAGAAAAACATCATTCATTTTTATATATTCCATAATGAAACAGATAATCAGTAAATATATTTGACATAAAGCAAAGTATAGATTAGTTTGATATATTATCATAATAGTTTTCTTGAATCTAAGAAGGTAAATCTTAGGATATGCTAGATAATATGAGCAGTAGCTCACAGATTTCAATTAGATTTCTCTTAAGAACTGCTTCCTATTCAGGTATTGTTGACTTAATGCCTTTATTATCAAATAGATATATTCAATATCAGACATTTTTATCAAAAATTTGCTAAGTATCATTACCACACACAGAAAATAAAAGTATCATCTGTAATCTCATTATACAAATAAAGAACAGGTATAGTCTTGGTATAATTTTCCGTTGTAATGTCAAAACATATGAGGTTTTAGTATTATTTATTGTCTTATATTATTGCCAGTAAACTTTGGATACAATTCTGCATATAACTTTATATGCTATTTAATAGTAGATTTGCTTTAGGCAGATTCGGGAGAAAAAAAAGATATTTTTGTCTCTTAAATTCAAAGAATTCTCTTTGTCTCTTATAATTTCTCTCTTCTGTTTGGTGATTAGAAAGCGCTTATTAATTTAAAAGTTGATTTTTTTTCACCTGAAACTGTGAAAAATAATTTGCTCCATGAAAGGGTTCATTTGTTTCTTTTACTGGCATCATATGTCCATTTTATACATCAAAATATGCCCTTAATTGCCAAGGAATTATTATGATCAACAGAATATTATCTTTAAAGTGCACTGTTTAACACATTGTGCTTTCCTGAAAATTCCACCACCTTCCTCCTCTATTAGCTCTGAACATCATCTTGTCCCCTCCCCACAGGTTTCCTATCCCTTGTTCCCTCTGACTTGTGTCGTCCTTTCTAGACAAAAGGCCTTTAGTTCTCTTCTATTCACTCAAAATGGACTATTAATTTAAAAGACATTTAAGAAGTCAATCTCCAAAACTAAATAAAAATGATTTTTAAAATTTTGTTTAGTTAAGATCTTATATCCATAAAAAAGATGAGATCTTCTTCAAAATTCTTCATCAGAATTCAGGGAGTAACTTCATATCCACATTTTTTAAACTCTCATATTCTGGTACTGCATCTTACTTCATTTCAACACCAATGTAGTTTCATAAAATTGGTCCATAGCCAATCTGTTTCTACCATTATACAAATCAAAAAGTGTCTCTTGCTGTTTGGACTTTCAAATTTCTTTATAATTAGTAATTTATCTGTGGAACAAACACTTTGCAACAGGCTCTGGCAATGACAAAGATGCTAACATCAAAGATGCCTGTGAAGAATTTAAATACAGTTATTGTGTGAAATGTGAGAGTGAAAAAAGCAAAACTTCTACATTAATATATTATTTTGTAGAAGTTGGGGTTTTAAATATTAATTTAAACCAAATCAATAAACATAATAAGTTGCATCTGACTGTTTCATCTATGAAAGCAGATGCATTTAAATTGGCAAAAAATGTTTTGAGGCATCTTATTGGGAAGATGGGAACCATCATGTATATTTGGGCCCATGCTGTATTTACCGAGGGCCTTCTATGTGCCAGGTACCATTGCTAGGACTAGCATGTACCATCACATGCCAACAGAATGAAACAAGAATGTGCAGAATACTCACATCAACAATCAGGAAATCTAGCCAGCACCAGGCATTGGTAAAATACACTTGAAAGCCATATGCAACCCACTTGAGAAGCATTTCCAGGATGAATATGTAAGTGAAAACTTTGTCAGCATATTCTAACATGGTCTTAATGGTTTTTCGCTGTTCAATATATATATCTTCAAAGGCCTGTAAGTGAAAAAACTCCATTGAATTTCACTGTCATAACTATCACTAATTACTATCTTATCAGAAAAAAAAAAAAGCATGCTACAAGCCTCTTCTCAGGGGCCTAAGGCTTCATGCTTTCTAGAGCTGCAGTTTGCTTTGTAGCTATCTATATGCAAATGACTACTGACTAGGCATTTCAGTCAACCAATCGGTTCAAATAATTTTTCAATTTTGATATCAGGGTACCCCAAAAGAGCTTAAAATTTTTGAAATATTGCCAGCTGCTTCTCTACAGCAGGAGGCAGAAAGTCATCTGCAAGCAGATCTGTTTTGTTCAGTGCAGAGTTGCTGGACTGTACCCCTTCAGTAATGCAGATGTAAGGAGCCCCCTTAGCCCAGGGAAGGGGAATGGGTTATAATCTCTCACTTTCTCATCTATCTCTCGCTCAGTCTGGGTGTGTATGTGGTTATATGTCTGGAAGCTCCCTTTGCCACCATTTTGCAGAGCTCTTTGGGGAACTCATCTGCAAGAGCCCCTGGGCTTCTGGAATGAAAAGAACATTTATGTAATTCAGTCCCCTTACAGGAAAAGCTATCAGGGTAACCTAGCGGTCTGGATCTAGGAGAAAGAAGAAATTTTGGGGGCAGGGGGATGGGGAGAAAAGGGAGATTTGGACTTGTGACCAGGGCTCAACACAAGGGTGTAAATGCGTTGCAGCTCAGTATATAGCTGAAGCTGGAAGCTCCTCAGAAGCCAGTCTTTGTGCCAGAATGTCAGTGTACTTTGGTTAGCTTGAACTAGGTGTAATTGAGAACCATGAGCTGCTATAGCAAGGGCACTAGTCACTGACAAGAAATCACAATTCCTTCTCCACTTGGCATTAAAACACAGAGCTGACCCTCTTTGCTCTAAGCACATGACAGGATGCAGGATCCTTAAGTCAAATCAGAGGTGGGCTTCAAGGCCTCCAGATATAACGCCATTATCCTCCTTCTGAAATTAACTCACCAAACACCGGTGATTAATTGAAAAAATAAATAAATAAAAGAAATGCCACCATGTTTGTATTACCAAATGGAAAATGAGTCACACTATTTTCATATACTAATCAATATTAGACCAAATCGACCATTCTGTTGATGGAAATCAGACATAAAATAAGTTGTAATTCTTTCACTTTGCCACTAGTCAGTAATTTAGCCTACTATTTGCCATTCAATGTGGTTGGCACTAGTGAATCAGCACGAACAACACAGGTGAGTTTTATGCGGCAATGGAGCTTATGTTCATTTAGCTGATAATCACATATCATGTCTACATACTCAATTCTTAGCAGAAACTGGCTCTGATGACTAAAAGTTAGAAAGATCCTTCTTTAACTATTACAAAAAAATCATACTGATCTAATTTGATTCAACCTGAGGTCAATTTCAGAAAAATAAAAATTTCTACTTACTGAGCCTCTCACAATTGTGCTAAAAATATTATAAAATGTCTCTCCTCTTCACAAACACTTTATGGTAAAAGCATGTAATAGGAGATTCACTGAGGGAAGAGGTAAAGGGTTTCAGGTAAAAGTAAAAGAGCAGATCATCATCACCTACCAGTGCCCCACTGCTGAGCAGAATCATGAAGACAATGAAGGTTTCGAACCAGTTATGCTCCACTATCTTATAGCAAGTTTTTCTCACGTTCCACCAGAGTTTCCCTTTGCCTTCTTCTATGCTTATCTGACAACATTTAAACTTTCGCACACAGTCTAAAATATGACAAAGTAAATGAAGACAAAATTATTCTTTAATTATGTACATTTGTGTTGGTGGGAGATTCATCTACATTGTTACCGGATACATTATAAATAAATTTATTTTTTAAGATGGCTTCTACTTGTAGAAATAGAAATTATCTATACATTTTTAAATCATTCTTTCAACAACTGATTTTTAGTGTTTATGGGACTATTATAATGGATTACTTTACATTATAAAAATGGTATAAAAAAGTACTGTGAGAGTTCACCAGTAGAGATTAATTTCTAATACTTAGCTTTACAGAGGAAATGGATTTGGGGCTAGACTTTGAAGGATGTATAAAAATCAGGTCTAGTATATGGAGCTGTAAAGAAGTGAAGAAACAATGATATAAGTAAAACTTGGTGATGGAAAAGTCCGCAAATTGTATGAAGCAGAGAATTGGGATTCAAGACTATAAAAGATACTCAGAGCCAATCTGAAACAGACCTGAATGATTCAGTTAGAGAACTTGGATTTTATGTGCTGTCTAATGGGGAAAACATTGAAGGATTTATTTGGGAGTTATAAAGAGGATTTATCTGATAAGAATATTTATTTAGAATGATCTATGCCTTACAAGGTATTGGATGGATAGAAGAGAGAATATGGAAAAAGAGGCAAGGGTCTATGAGATTCAGTCAACTCCACATTAAAGAAAGTGAAAGCAAGGGTAATGCTGGTGACAGTGGTCAGCAATCAAAAGATACTGCTGAGTTGACAGGACCTGGCAGCACATAGAATATGGTGGCATGGGGGTGTGAGAGACAGGGTAGTCATGACATAGGGTTTTAACCATGAGAGAGTTCTTGTTCAGTGAACAGAAAAATGGAAACCTCATCTTGAAGGAGTATAATATTTTAATGCATAGATATTTATCAGATGCTACTTTATAATGTCAGCCAGATCATATCTTTTGTTTCATGAAAATTTAACTAAGTCCTCTTAAATATTATTAGTTTCTCAACTAAGAAATAAATAGCAATATATTTGTTGTTTCTTTGAGGGCAAGATGTTTTTCACATTTCTGTCTCCCAAAGGATCAAGAAGAATTACATGCCCTGAAAATATTTGTGACAATGAGTTAAATGGAACTGAATTTAGGTTTTTTTCCTCCTAAAGAGGATATGAGATGGAAAAAAACTGTTTAATAGAAAAAGACCAATGTTAACGGGAAGAATAAATGTCAAATTTGGGATAGTGATTCACTTCTGAGAGGGAAGGAAGGGAATGGGATAAGGAAAGTGTACAAAAGGGGCCAAATCTCCATCTATTTTATACTTAAATAAAAACTCTGAAACAAATATGACAAAAATATTCAAATTGTTAAAGTTGGTTGGTGGGTGTCTATGTATTATTTATCATTATTTTCTATAATGGTATGTTGGTGATACTTCATACTTAAATATTTTTTTAAACTTCACAAAAGACAGTATTACCATAAATATTATCATGCATATTCCGTGACCCTAAAAATAAGGTAACTGTCTGGGAAAGAGTAATGACTAATACTACAGAAATTATTTTTGTGATATACCACTTGAATGTTTTGTGAAGTCATTTTTTCATAATCAAATAACTTCACTGAAATGTGTACAGAATTTTGAAGGAAATAGCAAAAAAAAAGGCTTCTCTCATAACATGCTGTCAAATAGCTCTTCCTCTGAAACAATTTAAAAATTGACAATTGATATATAAATATTTGTTTTCACTAATGCATTTAAGTCCAAAGTCAATAGGTGTATGCAACATAATCATCAGTAAAAGCCTTGAATCTA